TTGTGCTTTAAAACAGTGCCATCTGGATTCAGCTTTCGCTTGAAAACCCACTTCAATCCAATGCATTGCTTTCCATGTGGCAGATCGACCAAACTCCACGTTTTATTCTTCTCGATGGATTTGAGTTCTTCAATCATGGCCTCCTTCCATTCGGTTTCTACCATAGCTTCATCTACATCTATTGGTTCAGTTCCAGCCATTAACGCCAGGTGAACCAGATCACCTTCATCACTAACACCAGTATCCGTATATAACTCGTAATCAGCAAATCTCGGTGGTCTTGTAGACTGTCTTCTAGGTCTCCTTAGTGTATCATCACTATTATAGCACCATCAACAATTTTCTTATCAGTTGCATCTGATATCTCAATCACCACCGACACCTTCTTGATACTGGTCTGCCCTTTCTCCTAATCCCAACTCTCATCTTCTAGAATTATTACATCTCTGCTGATCATTATTCTGCCTTTGGTAGGGTCGTAGAGCTTATATGCCCCTGTCGAATGATATCCCACTAGAACCATCGCCTCTCCTTTATCTTCAAGCTTCGATCTTCTCTGATCTGCAATGTGGCTAAAGACCAAAGATCCAAACACTCTAAAATGATTCACATTTGGTTTCATACCTGTCCACGCCTCGAGTGGAACCTTGCCTGTGAGTCTCTTGGTTGGACACCTGTTCAATATATGAACAGCAGTTGACACAGCTTCACCCCAGAGATTTCGTGGCAAACACTTATCACGCAGCAAACACATGACCATGTTCATAATTGTCCTGTTTCTCCTCTCTGCCAAGCCATTGTGTTGCAGAGTGTATGGTGTTGTTACTTCATGATTGACTCCACTGTCTTGACAGTATTGTTCAAATGCATGAGACGTATACTCACCCCCTCCATCGGTTCTAAGTATCTTAATAGTTTTTCCACTCTCTATTTCTACCTTAATCTTGAACCTCTTGAATATCTCAAGCACTTCACTCTTCAACTGTATCAGAAACATCCAAACCATTCTACTAAATTCATCAACAAAAGTGATAAAATACCTATTTCCAGCCAAGGTCGACACTTCCATAGGGTCGCATATATCGGAGTGCACCACATCAAGACATCCTTTGGATCTCATCTCCAGTCTCGCTTGAAACGGTTTTCTGCTTTGTTTTCCCACAATGCAAGATTCACACACGTTTTCTAGTATACTGGTTTTTGATATTCCAGAAACCATACCTTTTCCACTTAGCTGCCTTAAATCCTTAAAGTTTAGATGGTCGAACCTTAACTGCCACTTCTAGGTCTCATCATCTTTTACAGTAGACAAACAATGCCAGCTTCCTACTGCATCCATACACACTTGAAATGTTCGATTTTTAGAAATCTTGCTTCTCAAGATCAACACTTTATTTTTGTCAAACACTTCTACTTGATCACAGCCTCCCATAACAACTGTAAATCCTTTCTCAACAAGTTGTCCAAGACTAAGAAGATTGCATTTCATTGCTAGAACAAGTAGAACATCTTCTATGATAGCATGTGAGCCATCTTTTCTACGTATAACCACATTTCCCATTCCTTCAACCTGGAGTGTGTTGTTATCTGCGAATCTGACCCTACTCTTCTTTGATTCATCTAATCTGACCAGCCACTCCTTGTTGCATGTCATGTGATTTGAGCACCCCGAGTCCAAATACCACGATTTCATAAATGAATGTGAATTATCAGTTGTTGTTGTCACCATCAGTGTCAATGGTTCTGAGTCAGAGTCCTCTTGAGCTAGATACGCCTCCTTGTTTTGTTGTTTCTTCTTATGTTTACCTTTATTTGAGTAACATTCAAATGAGTAATGCTCCATCTTGTGGCAACTAAAGCATTCTACATTCCTTATATCTTTCTTCTTTATGTTCTTTTCAGAGCCACTCTTGCCTTCAGAACATTCAACTTTTCCATCTTGCTCATTTACACTATACTCATTTTTCCATTTTCCTCTTGCTGGTTTTCCTTTCCACTTCTTGAACTTCTTTTTCTCTTCACTTCTAACATGCAGTGCCTTGAGTGCTTGCTCATCATTCTTTATGGGATTTCGGTCTACCAATCTCATTTCATGTACCTCTAAGGAACTTTGTAGTTCCTCAATCTTCATCTTCTCTGTATCTTTTGATTCTTCAATAGCCACAACAATGTAATCTAACCGCTGAGGTAGAGACCGCATAATCCTTTCAACTATCATGAAATCATTAATGGACTCGCCACATCTCTTCATCTGGTTAGTAATACTCAGAATTTTAGTGAAATAATCACTAACCTTATCACTATCCTCCATTTGGGCCAGTTCGTATTATCTCCGCAGCGTCTGGAGTTTCACCTTTCTGATTTTCTCTCCCCTAGAATGACAGTGTACCAATATCTCCCACGCTTCTCTAGCCGTAGACGCATTTTGTATTTTCTCAAAATGCATATCATCCACACATTGGTGAATGATCAGCAATGCTTTATCATCTTTCTTTCTTAGTATCTCCTTTTGATCATCTGAACCACGAAAATCACTCATGGAATTATCTCCTTCTACAACACTGCTCACATCTTGAACGTGAAACAACACGCGCATTTGCGTACTCCACCTACTCCAATTCTTGTCAGTGAGTACATGAAGGTTTGTCGTAGAAAAATCAGCCATGGTCCACCCTTCTTCTCTGCCCAAGAACTGCTTTCTTGATCGTTCTAAACCACCCACAGCCAGCCGTACTGTACTCGGAACGATACCCCTTAGGTCCTCTTTCAACCTTGGCTCTGGATACCACTGTAAGAGAATGCAGAGAATGGAAATTGATAGGAGATATCAGAATAGAGAAATGAAAACGTGAAAATACTTGAATGTGTATTGAAGTGGTAAGAATATGTAATATAACAGTGTTTTGTAGTAAACGAAAAATAACAGAATAAACTGTATAACAGCTTGGATTTAAAACACCTAACAAACGAAACCAACCCAATTTCAATTCATTAATATATAACCGCAAAAAATAATATTTAATATATATATATATATATATATATATATATAACTACTAGGATATAGATGTAAAGGACCTAGTAGCGGAAAAAGCTTTAATAGAAACAGTGCACCAAATAAGTACTAAAAGAAACAAAACAACAAGGAAATGTAGGATCAGATAAAGGAACAGCTGGAAAAAAAACTGCATGATGAATACACACAACGATTGGCAATTACACCAAAACCTATCTGCTTCATAAAGATCAAGATCTAAAAAATGAATGGAAATAATTTTGGTATCTTCAAACCAATTGTCAAACACACATTCAGACTCACAAGGCAGTCTCGGGCCAATAAGACAACTCAAGCATTTGACGTGAACTTTTGATGTTCGTTAAAGTATGCACAATTTTTTTTTTCCAGATTTCCCAGACAAGTAAGATGTGTATGTGTTTTGATCAAAGTGAATTTTTTGTTTGAGGAGTACTTCTTACTTGCAGATATAACAAGCAAAGCTACACCTTAAATCCTCATATTTGATCCAGCTCTCATTCATGCATTCACATCAATGATGCCAGTGACCCGCAAGTGCAAATTTCAAGAAAATTTTCCGTAGAAACTCCTAAAGGGGATCATATATACTCAAATCAAATGCTAAACAATGAATAAAGACTCAATACCAGACAACTAATACAAAAAATATAACTGTCAAACAAAAAAAAAAAT